GCCGTCGTCTCCTCCTTTTGCCTCTTCCTTCCCGCTCCGCGCTCTTCCAGCGGGATCCCTAGGCATGGGAAGGCTGCGGGCTATAGCAGTGCTGTCTGGACAGTGTCGCTGAGGGTCAGTGACAAATCCAAAGCCTCTGGAATTACTAGGCTTTGGATAGACAGAGGACCAAGGTGAGACGATGCTGCTGCCGGGGGGTCCTGGGCTGAACACCCCAGCTTTGCGGGGTCAGGATCCCTCAGTCAGGTCTCCCCGCTGTGGGTCGGGGCTGTGTGTTTCGGCTCATCTCAGTGAGCCATCAGGGTTTAAATGAGGGGGCGCAGCCCCCCAGACTAACTTGGACCCTTCACTCCTACCTAATGCAGCACCGGAAAGGTGCCATACGTCAGGCTGGAGCTGGGTGAGAGCATCACGGCGGTGTTAGTGGGATTGACAAACAGAACTAGTGATGGCTTTGTATGGAGCGATACTGCGCCTTCTGCAAAAAATACCTGCATTCCCTTGTCAGGGACCACAGGGGTGGGTGTTTTGATGTGTTTGTTGGTCCATCCCAGCCTGCCCCCCGCCCCGTTCTTTTCAGAACATTCGACTGACAAGCCAAAGAGCTTGCTTTCCTTATTTTGTGTAAACGCGGTCTTACTGTCCAGATAAATCTCTTAGCAATGAAGTTTTTGAAAGCTAGAGGATGGATCTCAAGCCTCCCGAAAGCCTTGGCTCAGAGTATCTGCGATACGAGTTTCTGCTGGCTTTGACCTTCAGGGTGTCTCTTTTTTAAATGGCTTTTCTAGCAAGAAAGGTACCTGGAAGGCATCAAACCCACAAATTTCTTTGGTAACATCTCCCTTTCCTACTGGGGGGATGATGTAGGACTCTGAGGCCACAGCAGAGAGGGCTGGTGGGTTGGTGACAAGGAACAATTAAGGAATGCCTCTGCCCAAGACAGTCCGTGGTGTTCGGTTTTGGGTTTTTTTTGCTGCTGTTGAGACAATTGAGCAGCAAAGCCAGAATATGCAAACCCACAAATTTCTTTGGTAACATCTCCCTTTCCTACTGGGGGGATGATGTAGGACTCTGAGGCCACAGCAGAGAGGGCTGGTGGGTTGGTGACAAGGAACAATTAAGGAATGCCTCTGCCCAAGACAGTCCGTGGTGTTCGGTTTTGGGTTTTTTTTGCTGCTGTTGAGACAATTGAGCAGCAAAGCCAGAATATGCGGCAGATGGTGGTGACAAGGAACAATTAAGGAATGTCTCTGCCCAAGACAGTCCATGGTGTTCGGTTTTGGGGTTTTTTTGCTGTTGTTGAGACAATGAGCAGCAAAGCCAGAATATGAGGCAGATGGCTTGAACTCTGGTGAACTGTGGTTTAGGTGTCAGATGCTGGATGTATGCTGCTGAAAGTCTTGTTATCCAAGTAAGTGCATAAATCTATTTTAATTGCTTTAATCTTAAAAAAAATGTTTAAAATCTTAAATACTATAGGTAGCAAAACAAAATAAGACCAAGCAAATAGTATAGTAATAGGTAACTACCCACATTTATACTGGGAATCAAACATATGCTGTTATAGGTTAGCAATCCAGTATTTTTAGGAGAGTTAATACGTATTTTCTAAGAGCTGTTGCATTGCTGGGGCTGTTCTAGGCGAAGAGGAGGAGTATTTGGATCGTTCAGCAATCAGCTCTTCAGTACTTGTGTCATGACAGCAGATTTCTGAAATGTTACGGAGCCCAAGTCACTCTTAATTCCCTTGAGGAGTGACACAGCGAGTGGGAGCAATTATCCCCACACTGAGCTGCTCTTTTATTCTCAGACTGATGTGTATTTCCCCCAAACATGAACTTCTCAACAACCAAACTTCAGTCTTGCGAAACTGCTTGCACGCTCTTCAGTTCAGCTCTGCGGCGTGCAGCGACCCGCCTGTGCCTAGTGTGTGTGTTCCCAGGTCACATCTCCGAAGGCTTCGGCAGTCTCAAGCTCGGTGGAGGTCACCGGGCTCTGGAGATGCTCACAACCGTGTTACGCTGCCGTTAAAAGTCTTTGTCAGAAATATTGCCCCCACCAAGCACTGCGAACAGCACAGCAAAACCTCTCCGTTTTGTACAAGCCCTAGAGCGACTTGGAGACCGTGCCACCCCCAAAATGCACATCTGTCTGAGCAGAGGTTACCAGAAACCAGAAACAGGGATGCCGAGGCCATCGCTCAATAACCACAGCCCTCGTTTTGCAGTATTTCTTGAGCTCTGCAGGGGCTTTCCTGGGGTCAGCGCTTGGCTGGCTTTAGCAGCAGCATTTTCAGCTGTGCCACCCGGAGCGTGGCATGTTACTACAGCTGAATGCCCGGTACCTGCCATTTCGGAATTGCGAGTTATGGACCGTGCAGCAACGCACTGGTGTGCTGGAACGTGTCGTGAATGCCAGCTTCACCCACGCGAGTCTGTGTACCGCTGCCCAGGGAGCGCGGCTGGGCACCTCTCCTGTTCCACCTGGGTGACCGAACGTGATGCATCCAGGAGGATTAGTTCCCAAACTTATCCTTGAATGCCTAGGTGTTAACTCTCCCAGGAGACACATACAGATAGTTGCCACGTAAACCAGTTCTGCAGAAACGGCACGTGGGGATTTTAAGATGACCTTAACGTGTTTTACCAAAACTCAGCCTACGTAGCGCTTTGAGACGCAAGTACGCACAGCCTGCTGCCTGTGCAGCTAAAATATGTGGGTTTTTTCCAATAGATTTGCCTATCTTTCCAGAAGGAACTACTCTTCTTAAGCAGCAGGTAAGGGAAAGAATATGGGTAAAATATCTGGGAAGGAATGGGAAAGGACATTTAATATATTTCATCTTATTATACATTTTTCTACATTAAAGTTAACAGGCTGCAAATATATTCTGCTACAAAGCTTTGTGTAAGAAATATTTCTATAAGAAAATACATCTCATTAAACATTTCCTGTAAATAAATTATCCCAAATAACTATGTTTTGCAAGAGGAAAAAGGGATGGGGGATAGACCAATGATAAGAAGAGCTAAAAATTGCTGAGAGACCATTTCTGCACCCCCTCTGCTCACACTGGGTGTCATTTTCTTTTATACCTAGTCACAATGAGAGCAGTAGAGTTCCTCTGCTGAGGGTGTGCTGTGTCAGTGTAAATAACACCTGCAAAATTGGTTCCTATACTCCTTTAACGTCTTGAAATTAGGCTGTTTCTGAGCCTTATTGCTGTTCTGGTTACACTGGGAAAACTCTGACAAAAGCAGAGTTGCAGTGACAGGACTGCAAGATAAAACTCTGTCTGAGACTATTAAAAGGCAGAAGACCCTGTCTCTGAGCAATAAAAACTAACACCAGTGGGGAAAGAGGACCGTAAGTTATTTAAATTATGAAAGATAAAGGCAGCGGAGCGCATGTCTCTGTTCTAGTTGGGAAGTCCGAGTCAGGGGGTGTAGCTAAGCTGGAGCTTTCAAACAGCCCCTGTGGAGACGGGCCCGTGGGAAAAGGTGTCTGAGGTGTGAGTGACACGGTCCTCGAAGTCCAACTACGCACTGGTCTACCCGCGTCGTTCAACTGATTA